TCGAGACCAGCCTGACCAATATGGTGAAACCCCATCTCTACTAAAAATATAAAAATTAGCAAGGTGTGGTGGCGCACGCCTGTAATACTGGGTATTCTGGAGGCCAAGGCAGGAGAATTGCTTGAACCCAGAAGGCGGAGGTTGCAGTGAGCCAAGACTGTGCCACAGCACTCCAGCCTGGGTGACAGAGTGAGATTCAGTCTGAAAAATAATAATAAACAGACCATGCAGTTTTTTTGAGACAGGGTCTCACTGTGTTGCCCAGCCTGGAGTGCAGTGGCCAATCACGGTTCACTGAAGCCTCAACTTCCCAGGCTCAAGTGATCCTCCTACTTCAGCCCCACAAATAGGTGGGACTACATGTGTGTGCCACCATGCCCAGCTAATTGTTTGGAATTTTAGTAGAGACGAGGTCTCTGAGGTCTCGCTATGTTGCCCAGTCTGGTCTTGAACTCCTGAGTTCAAGCAATCCTGCACCTTGGCCTCCCAATGTGGTGGGTCACCAGTGTGAGCCACCATGCCTGGCCTAGACCATGCACTATGAATGGTCAGTGAGGTAAATTAGTACCCAGGGAAATGCCTGTCAACCAGTCTTTATTATTTAAAAACAGCAGCAGCTGTCAAAGCTAATGGCAGAGTAGTGTCTTAGCAGAAACTTAACAGTTTTCCTCATTGACAGGGGCTAGAAAGTGCACTACATCCTTAGCCGGCATTTTTATTATCTCTGCAATCAAGCATTTTTCTCTGGGAATACATTAATAAGACTGGAACACAATAAAGACATGTTTCTGTCCTCAGCACTGTTTAATGTGCCGTCTCCCTTCCTCCAGGGAGCAGACCTGCCAGGCCAGGTGCCGCCCTCAGAGCAGCAGAGGCCTGCCCTGCCCTTGGACCCCAGCCCCGCCGTGGGCGCCCCCACAGTCCCTTCTGGGCCTCAGCTTTGTTGTCCTCTGCCTGAGACAGGGTTGGGGTGGGGGGTTCCTCCTCAGTGTGAGCTGGGGTGTGGGGATTGCACGCTTGGTGGCTGAGCCCCTGAATATCCAGAGAAGCTCGGCGGCCTCACCTTCTCCAGTCGAATTCTCTCTCCACACGCAAGGTCTAGTTCATTTCCAATTAAGATCAGGTCTTCAGCGGTCACCTTCCACTGGCGGCTGGCGAAGTGCACCACGGCGAAGAGCCGGCCATACTGCCCCGTGGCAATCAGCTCATTCACCCTCCTTACGACCTCTGCAGGGGAAAGCGGGGGCGGCCAGTCACCCTCACCTGCTCCCCCACGCACTGCAGTGTGATGTGCAGCTCCTGGCGGCAGGGCCCTAGGGTGGACGTGACAGCCAGCACCCCTCATGAGCACCTCACTGCTGGCGGCCCAGCCCCTGCCCCACCCCCTGCAGGCACAAGTGCAGGCACAGGGCCAATCTGCTGCTTCAGGAGCACGGGCACCGTGGCATATGGGGGCTTTCACAGATGAAAGCTCCCCAAGACTGCGGAGAACGCCCAGACCACCTCCGGTGACGCCCTCGCCTAAGCACTCGGCATGCCTGGCTAGGTTTCTACAACTCTAGGGTGGGCGAAACCCTCCACTTGGTTCATTCTCATGAGAATGAGGAGCCAGCAGACCAGGAGTGTGCAAACCCTGAGAAGCCAAAGGAGAGGCCTTTGCAATGAGGAACCCCCCGCGCATCCCATCCCCATATCCCACCCCCAGGGCAGGACGTGTTCCCTCTGCACGCCTGCGCCCACAGGGGCTCTGTACTCAGGTCCTGGTATTGCTGCTCGGACTCAGGTCACAGTCCCCTCTCTCCTGCACTGTTTACTCTGAACAAGCATTTAATGGGCACCGACCCCCGGCCTGAGCGAGGGCGAGACACACAGAAGGGATGACAGAGTGCCTGCCCCGGAAACACTGGCAACCCCAGAAGCAGCAGCACCGAGGGCGCCACTCGGCGGACTTGTTTCACTCGCGGTATCGGAAACAGTGTTTGACATACAAGAAGGTTCCACTCGAGGATGTTGATTTCCAGCGTTTTGGCAGGTGAAGATCATGGCACTAGTGGCTAATGATCCCGTCCCTTCTGACACGGGTTCCAGGCTGACATGAGTCCTGACACCCCTGCATGTTTCTCCAACAGCCCGGGGGGCACCGGCTTCCAGTAATCGTGCTTAACCGTGCTAACCGGGGAGAGCTGTGTCTGCGCCCACCTACAGCGGGAGACGAGATGGAGCCGGGGCCCTGCCCTCACTTATGCCACCTGCCTGCCGTGTGGCAGGTGTTCAGGGAGCAGTTAATGAAAAACATCTGAAATTCGGGTGTTAACGGGAGAAAATGGGCATGAGTGCGGGCACTGTGCAGTGTGTGGGAGAACCCCGAAAGATGAAGCCCTCGCTCGCTCTGCGGCCCGGCGACCGCCTCTGTGGGCGACTGCAGCAGGGTCTGGGTGGTGCCCTTTAGCTCTGTCTCCTAGGGAAGTCTCACCTGCATGGTGTCTGGTCTCCTCAACTGGGTCTGGCAGAACAACTTCCGGCCAAGGTGGTGAACTCAGGGATGTTCTAGGAACATATCTGTAAAACACATGTCGCAGACAAATGTCACACACACTTGAAAAGGCAGCTCAAATCCTCTAAGAAATGGCCATGCACAAATGTTAGGAAGGGACCCTGGGCAACAAACAGGCTCCCTCTTTAGGACGGGCCTCGCCCCTCTGGGGTAACCCCGAGGACAGGCTCCCTATATCCTCTTAGAGTCACAGGGAACAATGGCTCATCATTCAATAATCAAAGAAGGAACTCTCAGCGTTCTGCAAAAGAGCCCCTGCTTGGGTGCTTCTCAGTGCTGGAAGGGTGCCCATCCAAGAAGGCTGGGCTTGTGGTGTCTCGGGGCACATTTATCTTGGAGGCACAGGCTGAAATGCCCAGCCCTCCACTTTCCCCACAACCCGGGACACAGGGCCAGCAGCTCTCCCGCCTCCCTTGGCATCTAGTGGCCCTGGAATGGCAGCTCCAATGACCCTTCACCACATCCTGCTCAAACAGGACCACAATGTTCCCTGCTCCACCTCCACCTCCTCCTCCTCCCAGGTAGGTGCCCGCTCTTCCTTCACGCCCAGGTGAGTGCCAGGCAGCACTGGCTCGGAACCCCAGACAATTCTGTGTCCTGCTGTCTGCAACTGAGCAAATGGGAAAACAATCACCCGCCTAAAAGGGCTGTTAGGATTGGAGGGCTACTGTTCACAGCCGGCCCCAGTACGGCCAGTGAGGGTCGGGTGTTAGGAGTGCTCAGTCCCAGCAGCTATAGCACTGCGGTCCCCAACCACCTCCCCTCCCAACCCTCAGGATGCCAAGCTTGCTGCAGGCAATGCTTTTTTTTTTTTTTTTGAGATGTAGTCTCACTCTGTCACCCAGGCTAGAATGCAGTGGCGTGATCTCAGCTCACTGCAACGTCCGCCTCCAGGGTTCCAGCGATTCTCCTGCCTCAGTCTCCTGAGCAGCTGGGATTACAGGCACATGCCACTACGCCTGGCTAATTTTTGTATTTTTAGTAGAGATGGGGTTTCGCCACATTGGCCAGGCTGGTCTCGAACTCCTGACCTCAAGTGATCTGCCCACCTCGGCCTCCCAAAGTTCTGGGATTATAGGCATGAGCCATTGTGCCTAGCCCAACATCTTATTTCCTAACTCTCCCGTCTGCTCAGCCTCAGGTAGGTGAAGGGGAGAAGAAGGGAGGAAAGAAAGGGGGGACCTAGATTCAAAAGGAGGTGGGGGTCTTTCTTTCTGCAGTCTACAAAGAGGGAGGGTAGGTAGATCCCAAGCCGAATTATTCAGAACTGTTTTTAAGCTTTTATTGCTGCTGCCATTGCAAAGTAAAAGTTCAGCCTTTCTACTCCAGGGTTGCATCAGGAGGAAGAAAATGACTTGCTCCATACGCAAAATGCACTGGCCTCCACATCGAGGACCAGGTCCACCCGTCCTGTTGGCTGGCGCGCAGGACGGGCTCCACAAGAATCTGGGAGAGGAATGAATATTTTCCCAGTGGGGTAGGGCTCGGAGCTCCTAGAAACGTGAACTCCGTGGTCTGTGGTTGGTCAATGACCTTGAGAGACAAGGAGGACATGGAAGGTGCTGCTCCCTACAAAATATCTTTGACCTGTTTGATGTCTGGTCTCCCCACATGGGTCCAGCAGTGCCCAGTGTGAGAAGAACATGCTGGCAGGAAGGTGCTAACCTCTCACACAGGACACAGGGGAGTAAGCACAACCTACCTACCCACATGCTCACTTACAACTTCTTCCTACGCTCAGAATGTTTCTCTACTTCCTTTGAGAAGCAAAAAAGGCTCCCGCATCTCCCCACTGCAGAGGATCCCTGGAGTCCCAGCAGCAGTAACAGCAGCCAACATTTTGTGAGTGCTGACTGTATGCCAGGCACTGTTCTAAGCGCTTTAAATGTATACATTTACTTAATCCTCTCCAACACCCATGCAGATCGAAACGAACACTACTTCCATCTTGCAGAAGCTGGCGCCCCAGGCTGTGAGGGGCAGCCGGAACTGCACGCCGGGGGGTCCCTACGGTAACTGCTATCCCTGCACTGCTCCACTGTCTCCCACCAGTGAGGGGGACTTTGACAAATGTTTCCTGCAGTTTGTAATACCTTAAAAATGTTTTCTCAAGTATAAAATGTTAACACTGAATGTGCTTTTTCAAATGAGTTTCTCTTAGAGACTCTGATACAACCTTCCTCATCATAACTCATTGAGTTAGGACTTCAAGCTCCTCCATAATAAAAGAAAGCAAACACATACGGAATTTCTCTTTGGTCTCTTGTAGTTACGTCTTTATTTATTTTAAGGATCTGAGAAAAATACCGTCAAAAAAGTTAAAGCTGAAAGTGGTGGTGCATGCCTGTAATGCCAGCTACTCAGGAGGCCGAGGCGGGAGGATCGCTTTAGGCCAGGAGTTCAAAATCAGTCTGGGAAACACAGTGAAATTCTGTCTCTTAAAAACAAAAGAGGAAATTTAAATATTATTGAGAACCAAAAAGTAGGAAGTTTTGACTTCAGAAAGACAGTTCTACAAATGAAAGGAAAAGCGACATCAAAACCCACATTTTGATATTACCCTGGTGGAAATGAAGTGCTCTGTGAATTGAACCTTCGAGAAGCAGACCAAAGGGAGGCTGAGGGAAGAAGAGAAACACAGATCATTACTATTAATACTACAAATGCAAATTGCCCTTTACGATGCTAAATGCACGACTGTTGCTCCTGGTATGTGGTATAAACCACTGCATGACAGCCTGCCCACAGAAACACCTAGGTGAGCAAAAGTACAAGAACATCACTTACAGCTACTGGTTATATGTGTTGAGATCAGTTTGCCACACCATCTACAAGCGCCTCAGACCAGAACCTCCCGCCCACTAACTCATGCCTTGACTAACTGCCCAGTAGGTTCAGACCCTGTTCTGTGTCCAAGTGTGGAAGCAGCCTCCAGGATGGCGCTGCTGAGCCGCACCTCCTGCTATTCTTACCCCATCGGCCCACTGGGAGTGGTCTGTGTGTCCGACAGCTTGTGACAGACGTGCTAGCACGTGGGTTCTGGGATTAGGTGATAACCAACTGGGACTTCCATCTTGGATGCCTGTGCTCACCCTCTCTGATCTCTGGCCTTAGGGCTGCCCTGCTGTAAGCAGCCCTACCTAGAGGTCCACGTGGTGGGGAACTGGGCCTGTCGCCAACACCCACAGGAACGACCTTGCAGGTGGATTCTCCAGCCGCTGGCGCAGCAGAGTCTTGAGATAACTACAGCCCCTGCAGACTTGCTTGCTGCAAGCTAAGACCCTGAGCCAGCACCAGCCACCTAAGCTGCTCCTGTGTTCTTGATTCTCAGAACTGGTGTGAGTTAATAAATGTTTTAAGCTGCTAAATTGTGGGGTCATTTCTAATGTAACCGTAGATAACGAATACCAGGAACACACCAGGGAACAAAGACATTCAGTCTACTGAGAAGACAGGGGCTCAAAATAAGTGCTTAGGTGTAAAAAGCAGAGAACAGTTTCTCAATAATCACTTTTAACTCGGCTATAATTCACACACCATAAAAACCACCCTTTTAAAGTTCACCCATTAGCACTGGCTCCCCATTTGTGTTTCCTCGGCTGCCTTCTCCTCTCCTCTCCCATTTGGGCTCCTGGGGCTCAACCCTTGGCCTTGACTTCTTTTCCGCCCATGGCCATTCCTCTGGTGACTGCATCCAGTCCGATGGATTTAAACGCCCCCAATGTGCTGGCGACTCCCAAGTTTACACCTCCAGCCAGGGCGTCTCTCCTGGATTTGCATGCCCACCTGTCTATCTGCCTTAGCCACTCATGTCTGACGTGCACCTCACACCTCCAGAGGTTCCTCATTTCTTCCCATGCCTGCTTCTCCCACACTCCTCCCTCTCTCATGAGGGCAACTTCATCCTCCCAGTTGTTCAGGCCCCAAACCTCCATCAGTTTTGACCCTTCTCTCGCACACTACTCAGCCAACCCATTCAGCAAATCCATCTCACTATTAAAGACTTAGTAGGCTTCTGTAACTAATTTGCTTCTAGCTTTGTCTTTGGGTCCACAGGGAACAAACACTCTCCCACAGGATTTCCTTTAGATCGTCCTGGAGACTGTGACTGTGTACTTCCATCCTGTCTCCTTTGCTCACTCTTCAAGGCCTCAGCTGCTCACTGTTTTGGTCATCTTGTCTCTACTCACTTCACTGTGTGTCTTTCTCTTTTAACGCGTAAGTCTATACTTGAACGTAGCATTGGAGGGGTGGTTTCATGTAGGTAGGTAAAATGGAGTAAGCCCCACTGCTTTTGTAAAAACTTTCCTGCCTACTTAAACCTAAGTTTTATTATGGAAAATGTCAAGCATACAAAAGTAAAGAGAACAGAATAGTGAACTCTCTCTCAATTATCCCTTTCCAGGTTCAACAGTTACCAACTCACGGCCAATGTTGGCATCTACATTGCCTCTGGCCCAACTCTGATTATTATTACTTTCTTAATAGACTTTATTTTTCAGTCAGTTTTAGTTTCACACCAAAATTGAGTGGAAGGTACAGAGAGTTCCCATATGTCCCCTGTCCATGTGCCCATAGCTTCCTATCGACATCCCTCACCAGAGTGGTACAATCCTTACAACTGATGAACCTACATTGACACATCATTGTTATCCAAAGTCCATAGTTTCGCCCTTGGTGGTGTACATTCTATGGATTTGGACCAACTTATAATGACATGTATCTACCATTATATCATACAGAATAGTTTCACTGCCCTAAAAATCCTCTGAGCTCCACCTATTCATCCTTTTCTCCCCCAATCCCCTTACGCCCCATCTATCTTTTTACTGTCTCCTTAGATTTGCCTTTTCCAGAATGTCAAAGGCTACAAGATGTAGCCTTTTCAAGTTGGCTTCTTTTACTTAGTAACAGGTATGTAAGTTTCCTCCATCTCTCTTCATGACTCATTTCTTTTTATTGCTGAATAATATTCCACTGTATGCATGTGCTACAGTTTATGTAACCATTCATCTCCTGAAGGACATCTGGGTTGCTTCCAAGTTTTGGGAATTATGGAACAATTCTTTTAATATTGTCCAATATAGAGTTAGATCCAGTTTTTCATTTTTGGGATCATGGTGAGACATGAGACCCAGGTTTAAAACATATGTAAATACTCGTGCACACAAACACACACTCCAACCATTTTCAGGCAGAGATTTATAGAGTTTTTAACGAATATAACCGTTTTGGAGCCTCGTATCAGCCCAGTGCCTTAAATACGGCTGTTTCTTTTGCTGAATGAGTTCAGATTAGGCGAGGATATCCATCATCATTTTTCAGACCGGCTCGCAGCCTGAGGGCAGTGGTTCAAGCACATGCTTTGGAGCCGAAATGACTGAGCCTGAAGCACTCTTCCTCCACTTCCCCGCTGTGTGACCCTGGGCACGTTACCTAGCTCCTCTGAGCCTCACTCTGCTCCCCCATAACATAGGAGCTATACCAAAGTTCAAGGGCTATTGCCAGTATTCAGGCTACTAACTGAAGGAATCAGAATCTGAATCTGGGTTTCCCCTAAGGGAGGAGACCACTCCTCATATTGTCTTATGCCCAATTTCTGCCTCCAAAGAAAGAAGTAAAAACTAAAAGGCAGAAACGAAATCCACAGGCAGACAGCCCAGCGCTGCACCCTGGGCCTGGTAGTCAAAGATCCACCCCTGACCTAATTGGTTCTGTTATCTATAGATTACAGACATTGTACAGAAATGTACTGTGAAAATCCCTATTTTGTTTTGTTCTGATCTAATTACCGGTGCATGCAGCCTCCAGTCACGTACCCACTGCTGGCTCAATCAATCACGACCCCCTCACACGTACCCCCTTAGAGTTGTGAGCCCTTAAAAGGGACAGGAATTGCTCACTCGGAGAGCTCGGCTCTTGAGACAGGAGTCTTGCCGATGCCCCCGGCCGAATAAACCCCTTCCTTCTTTAACTCGGTGTCTGAGGACTTTTGTCTGCGGCTCCTCCTGCTACACCCCGACTCCAAAACCCGTGCTATATTCACCACAAATGCGATCAACACACAAGGCACCAGGTCGGACCCAGGCACATACGTGGCGAGACCGCAGGGAGCAGCGCTCGCTCTGCGTCCTCCCTTCCCCCTATATCCCGGGTCTCACCTGCTCCGGGCCCCGAAGGTCTCAGGATGCTGCGGCTGCACGCGGACACCAGCCGCCCTAAGGTGACCGTCAAGGGGGATGCTGCCATGGCGGCCGCCATTTTCCCGCAGCCTCGGCCGGAAACGGAAATGACGCAAAGCGCGTGCGTAACTCACGGGCCCGTCAGGGAACACAGGTCGTGCTGTAACACCTGCCGCGCTGTAACACCGGCCCGGCGCGGAAGCTGGACGTCGGCGACTCGGGGCCCAGACTGGCGGCGGCGATGGCCTCGGCGGCTGTGGAGAGCTTCGTGACCAAGCAGCTGGACCTGCTGGAGCTCGAGAGAGACGCGGAGGTGGAGGAGCGCAGGTACGGGCGGCCGCTGGCGCCGCTCCCTCGCGGTTGGTCCCGCCGTGCCCCCGGCAGGGTCTCCGAGGGGCTCGGCCTCACAGTCTAGGGCGGGAATTTCGTCTCCGACCCCTGGAGTCCGGGTCAGGGACCGTCCGTCCCCTGCTTGGCCACCTCCCGAGTTGTCAGTCTCATCACCTCCCGGGCAGCGCGTTCCGTTTTGGGCCTAAGGAGACGCACTTTCATTTCTCGACCCGAGACCCCCCTAAGCTAACACTCCTGGGCCCTGGCCCCGACCCCAGTTCCACCCGCAGCGGGTTAGCAGCCCTTTCCCTTATTCATTCAGTAAACATGGTTTGCGCCCCTTCTGGGCCAGGCCCCGGCAGCGTGAGTCAGGTGCATTGGCTGCCCCCGATCCGGCCAACGGCGGGCTGGGCATGAGCAGAGTCCCTTCCCCTCCAGCGCGTCCAGGGCCGGCTGCGTGCGTGTGGCGGGGAAAGAGCCTGGAGGAGGAACGCTCTTCCCTGGGGAGGGCCAAGGTGGATTCAGGAGGAAGTGGTGCCTGAAGGAAAATTGGAGTTCAGCCGGTGGATGCGGGGTGGGGTGGGGAGCCAAGTGAGAGCCGGGCTTGTTTCCGAATGGGACTATTTATTTGTCCAAAACAATCAGAGCTAACATTTATATACTCTCCATGCGTTAATTCCTTTACACCTCATCCCATGCCAACCCTACAATGTAGGGTTTTTATTTTTTAGACAGTCTCGCTCTGTCGCCCAGGCTGGAGTGCAGTGGCACAATCTCAGCTCACCGCAGCCTCCACCTCCCGGGTTCAAGCGATTCTCCTGCCCCAGCCTCCTGAGTAGCTGGGATTACAGGCACGCACCACCACGGCCGGCTAATTTTTTTGTATTTTTGGTAGAGATGGATTTCACCATGTTGGCCAGGATGGTCTTGATCTGCTGACCTCGCGGTCTGCCCGCCTTGGCCTCCCAAAGTGTCGGGATTAGGGACGCTAGCCACCGCGCCCGGCCACAGTGTAGGTTTCTATTACTATCATTTTCCATCTAAGGAGATGGAGACAGAGAGGGGTTAAGTAACTTGCCCCGGGGTGACACACTATAGCCCCATTTGCTGTCAGGCAGTCTGCTTCCAGAGTTTGCAGTCAGCCATCCGTCGGTAGGATTTGTCTGAGGTGCTTTTGATCATGGCAATAGAGAACTTTTGCAGTTATGTTGACTTTATTAGAATCCCAGCTGCTTCATTTATGGCTGTGTGACTTTGCGGGTTCTTTCTCTGAGCCTTACTTCAACTGTAAAACTGGGATGATTCCCACCTCACAGCCTTGCTCTGAGAATGAAACGATCCCCTGTCAGTCAGGTGCTCAGCACGGTGTCGAGGACAGAGTCAGCCCCCATGGCAGTGGCTCTTTCTGAGCATGCGGAGCAGACTGGCAGGGCGAGCCTGGGAGGGCCTGGCTGAGGAGCTAGCCTTCTGTGTGTGGAGGATGGGCCATCAGCGGGGTTAAGCAGGCGAGGGAGGCGAATAGATTTGCATTTTAGGAGGATCTCTTGGGTCTCCTGCTTTTGATTGGACCTGGAGAGGCCAGAGGTAAGGTAGTTGAGAGGTTCCGTTTAGTCCAGGTGAGCAGTGATGTGAATTTGAACCGGGGCTGTGGCGGCCGGGATGAGAGGCAGAGAAGTCCGGGTGGAAATGGGAGGGGCCTGATAGGACTTAGTGACAGATGGGAGTAGAGAGGGGAATGCTGATTGAAGGATCTGTCTTAGGTACCTGGGAGAAGGGTTGCGGCATTAACTACCCTAGGGGGATGTAGGAGGACCGGGATTGGAGTGGGGCAGATTCAGAGTTCCATTGGGACATACTTAGTGCCCGTGAGTAGATCTTTTTCTGTGTTTCTTTCCCTTTTACTTTTTCGGGTGGGTGGAAGTAGAAATTGGTGAAAATCCTGAAGCATCAATACCGGGTATCTTCCAGGTCCTGGCAGGAGAACATCTCTCTGAAAGAGCTCCAGAGCCGAGGCGTGTGTTTGCTGAAGCTCCAGGTATCCAGCCAGCGCACTGGGCTGTATGGACGGCTGCTGGTCACCTTTGAGCCCAGGCGATGCGGGTCTGTGGCAGCTCTTCCCAGTAACAGCTTTACTTCTGGTGTGTGCGTATTGACCTAGACAGACATTGAAATTTACTGGCATTCAGACCACGAATTGTACCCTCATAAAGACTGGATTACAATGACCAGGTGGAGAATAAAGCATTGCAATGAAGAGCTCTTTATCAGAAGTCCAACAATTGATGTGGGTTTTAGTTGTCTAGATCAGCATTGTCCAAAACGGTAGCCATTAGCCATACGTGGTCACCGAATGTTGGAAGTGCGGCTCGTGATTGCTGTAGATACAGAATACACACCAGATTTGGAAGATTATGTTAAAAAACAATTGGGATTATCCTGAGTAATTTTTCTCAATACTGATTACATGCTGAAATAATAGTTTTCGTATATTGGGTTAAATAAAATATATTGTTATTTTAATTTACCCATTTCTGTCTTTTTTTTTTTTCTTTTTGAGACAGAGTTTCACTCCTGTTGCCCAGTCTGGAGTGCAGTGACGTGATCTCAGCGCACTGCAACCACCACCTCCCAGGTTCAAGTGATTCTCCTGCCTCAGCCTCCCGAGCAGCTGGGATTAGAGGCATGCGCCACCTCGCCTGGCTAATTTTGTATTTTTAGCAGAGACGGAGTTTCTCCATGTTGGGTCAGGCTACTCTCGAACTCCCAACCTCAGGTGATCCGCCTGCCTTGGCCTCCCAAAGTGCTGGGATTACAGGCGTGAGCCACTGCACCCAGCCTCTTTAAAATTTTTTAGTATGGCTACTAGAAAAGTTAAAACTACACGTGACTGGGTGCCTGTAATCCTAGCACTTTGGGAGACCGAGGTGGGTGGATCGCTTGATCTCAGGAGTTCAAGACCAGTCTGGGCAACATGACAAAACCCCATCTCTGCAAAAAATAGAAAAATTAGCCAGACGTGGTGGTGTGCGCCTATAGTCCCTGCTACTTGACGGGCTGAGGCAGGAGGATTGCTTGAACCTGGGAGGTTGAGGCTGCAGTGAGCTGAGATTACGCCACTGCACTCTAGCTTGGAGGCACAATGAGACCCTATCTCAAAACAGAACAAAACAAAAAACAAAAACAAGAAAAAACTACATGTGACTCTCGTTGTATTTCTGTGTAATGGGCAGCCTTGGTCCAGCTGATAAACATGCAGTGTGTGTACTTCTGTATTCCCAGCCCTTTCTTGTGCCAAGCATGCTTTGGCTAAACTTGTGCCAGCCTGGTTGGAAAGGAGGGGCAGTTCGAAGAAACTTCTTAACCACACCCCTGGGACGCTTGTGTTAGACAACCACAACCCTGGAGGCCTGGAGGAAGCAGCGGTGCCAGGGCCGTACTTTTTACTAGGAAAGTGTCTCTGCCTTGTTTTGGTGGTGACAGAGTTTTAAATTTCGTATTTTGATTCCATAGACTTTTGCCCAACAATTACTGGAATACCGACTGGATTTGGAGATGAGATGAGGGTACTGAGAGAGGAGAGGGCCAGGAGGGGAACCTGCATGTTGGAGTCAGACCTGAGCAGAGTTTGATTTTTTTTTTTTTTTTTTTTTTTTGAGACAGAGTCTCACTCTGTCGCCCAGGCCGGAGTGCAGTCGTGCAATCTTGGCTCACTGCAACCTCCACCTCCTGGATGCAAGTGATTCTCCTGCATCAGCCACCTGAGTAGCTGGGACTACAGGCACCTGCCACCACGCCTGGCTACTTTTTGTATTTTTTTAGTAGAGACAGGGTTTCACCATATTGGCCAGGCTGGTCTGGAACTCCTGACCTTGTGATCTGCCCGCCTCGGCCTCCCAAAGTGCTGGGATTACAGGCATGAGCCGCTGCGCCCGGCTGAGTTTGAGATCTTACGCTTACTTGTTGTGTGACCTAGAGTTAGTTATTCACCTTCCAAAGACTGGGAACAGCAGTACCTTGTAGCTTTGCCATCAGGATCGAAGGTGTGTGCAGGTGGTTTGAAAACTCTGAAATGCAAAGGTAAAAATGTGTATTTATTCAATAAGTGTGGAGTGCATGACCTAAGAGGTTAATAATAGTTCATAAACAGTAAGTCAGAAGAAGCAGCGTTTATATAGAAAAGTAGCACGCTGAAATTTTGGTTGTTGATAAAGCTGTTAATCAGATTCAGGTAGAGTGGTTATCTGTTCCTTTTCTGAGGAGCAGTCTTAAGTCTCAGTAGCTCAGAAATAGACATCCAGAAATGTGGGGCTCTATATAAGGCGGCTTGTGGAAAAGTTGCAGTAGGGTTGGGATCCTCTGTCTAGGCCCGTAGCGGCCCCTGTGCACAGAGCCTCTGTCCCGCGAGCTTGTTGCCACCTACTCTTTGTAAAGTTAGGAAAGGAAACATGATTCAAAGTACAGATGAAGCTCAGTGTCTAGATTTCAGACATGGGGAATACATGGAGTGTGAACAGGTGTGGGTGACCCGTGCTTTTATCTCAGAGGGGATTCTGTTTCAGTTATAACTGCCTGTGTTCTGGGTAATGAAAATCTGAGCCAAGCTGGCTTAAGCAAGAGGGGAATGCATCAGTTGTTGTAACTTGAAGGCTGACTTCGGGACCCAGAGGAGCGTGCCAGAACTTAGTTTCTCTCCATTTCTTGACTCTGCTGTCTTCTGAGTTTTTGGGGTTTTTTTGTTTTTTCCTTCTTAGACTCCAAGCCTTGCTCT